CTGCTCCTGTCTACAAGTACCCTCCATCTTTTGGAAACCAGCCTTTCGGGGAGCTTCCCTCTCTGCCTGCGATTCGCACGTTTCGACAAGAAGCCAGTGGTTGGAGTCTTGCTTCAACTTCACAGCACCCACACCGTCTCAAGGCTTCTACAGACTTCAGAGTGAATCTTCGATCTCTCGATGTTCCCAGCCTCCTGACACAAGGCATCAAGCCGGCTAAAGTTCATGGCGCTTCAGCGACGAACAGTGCGGTTGCGCTTGAGCTGTCCAAGCTATTCAGCTATTCGAGACAGGATTGTGAGTGAGTTTCTGGCCTGACACTCTCAAGCCTAGCAGTGCTGCTAGGTATATTTTTCTTGGCAGAATCTTAATCATCTGTGTATTGGGACGATATTGCATTGGATCACAAATTTGTCCAGCTTCAGAAGAACCGGGACCAGGTTGATTCCTCGATTTCATGACTTGCGGTGACTCGCTTGAACCGGGACACGGAGTTGCCTTGGGACTTGTTCTGCCTGTTCAATGAACAAAACAACGTCTACCCTGCGAGCATTCAACACCAGCTGTGTGCCAAAGCCTTCCCATGAACAGCACTGCATGGCATTATACACCGATATACCGCCACCCACCCATCCAAAAGAATGGTCTTGCCAACCCACTTGGTGAGTGCCTTATGCTCATTGAAGGAGAATAGCGTTCGTCCATTTGTGCGTTGACATTCAATGCATTGACCTCAGAAGTGTTGCACAAGTTCTGCGCTCATCATTCAAACCTGGAGGGCGGCTGGATTCAGCCACTGCTCCAAAGTTCGTGCCAATTGAACCCTGTGGGGATGCTTTGATTTGTTGTTCTCATAAGAACAACACAGTGGGATTGCGTGCGGTTTCGCGGAGCATCCGCATTCCTCACAAATATGGGCGCAGCTCCAGTGTGCCTGAGGCAGAAAAACAAACGAATTATTTTTTTTCTGCAAGAAAACATTCAGAAACAAAGAATGAAAAAATATATTTCAGCACCCACTCCACAAAGGGCCCAGGACCGTCAGTGCCTTGCGACAGGACCGCCAGCGCTGACTCCGCCACAGACAGAGGGCCACCTCCTGGACCTCAAAAAGAAAGCGACCCCGGTGAGACCCACAGAGGAGCATGAAAGAAATGTCGAGCCTAGTGCGAAAACCCTTCTGGTCCTCTTCCTCGCATTCCAAAAGGAGTGTTTTTGGTAAACCTTGGCACCTATTAGGGTTCTCTAAACCCTGATCACCTACATATCTTTTGATTTCTTATCGTCATCTCGGAAACTTCTTGTGTGGCGCAAAAAGGCTTAGAAGGCAGAGCGGCAATGATAAAGACCAAGAGGACACACACAGCATGAGCCTTTTCGGCGCATCCGCTCTTTTTTAGCACCATGTCACCATAATTCGCTACTTCGGCATTTCAAAAACAAGATCCCGGCAAGAGACCCCAAACAGTGTGCGTGTGGTCTATAACAGTGTGCTAGGGATCTAGACGCATTGGGGTCCAGAGAGGTGATGGTGGTGATGAAGGTGGGGATCGTGGTGACGGTGGCGGTGGTGGTGAGTGAGTGAGTGAGTGAGTGAGTGAGTGAGTGAGTGAGTGAGTG